GCCAGAGGAAGATACTTTATCTTTGCTTCTTGAGATGTTTCTAACAGGAGATACTATAGATTCAACTTATGACTCCTCATGTGCACATGTGTTCAGTTGTTACAACCCCTCTCATAATTGCCACACTACCAAAAAGTAGTGTGACCTTAGACTTCAGCTCAAAATATAAAATACAGTGGTGCCTCTAATATGACCAGATAGGCGGGGTATAAATGGAATAAATAAATAAATAAATAATAGCGATGTTAATGCGTTCCACAAAAAACATTGCTATTGGATTTAATCGCTATTCGAAATGCGATTTCCCATTGAAATGCATTGAAAGCTGGCTAATCCGTTCCAATTGGAACGAATTGCTGTCGCTATTCAAAAGTCTCCATGGGAAACATCACTATTCAAAACGCGGTTCCCCCACTGAAATGCACTGAAACCTGTTCAATGCATCTCAACGGGGGGGGGGGGGGGGCTCAAAAAAAAAAACAACACCAAAAAACCACCACTCCAAGGGGGGGGGGGGGATTCAACAACAACTTAATAAAGAGTCAGAACAAAGTCAAATTGGGTTAACAAAGGCTTCGTAACTGGTGGGCCAAACGCAAGCCAGCTTTTCCTTGTTTGGAAAAGCAAGCTCGCTGGCCAGGGAGAGATCGGCTCCCTCCTTGGGAACTCAGTGTCGGATGAAAAGAGGGAACCAATCTATCCCTGGCCAGCAAGCTTGCTTTTCCAAACGAGAAGCAAGCTCGCTGGCCAGAAAGAGATCAGTTCCCTCCTTGCACCGATGGCGAGTTCCCTTCGCGCAGGGGGGGGGAGCTCAGCCCAGCGCGAAGGGAACTCAGTGTCGTGTGAAAAGAGGGAGGCGATCTCTCCCTGGCCAGCAAGCTTGCTTTTCCCGACGATCGCTATTCAATAATCGCCCAAAGGAAACATTGCTATTCAAAGCGAAAAAATGCCCCGAAAACCTCATCGCTATTCAGTTTTTTCGTTAATAGAGGCGCTCGCTATTCGAGGCACCACTGTAGCTCACTATCCATTGTTCAGAACCAGCAAACCCACCAGCCCCAATACTGTATTTTAGGCTCCACCACCCTGCCTGGCCATATTGCTCTTATTTTCATTCCATTCCCATCCTTTATGGTTGATTACCATAGAAGAAACTTTGGGGGTTGATTGTGACGTTTGCATATTCTGCAGTATACCAGATTGTGTAGTGACGGTACATGCATGATGCTATTTCAGTTTCGTGGAAGTAATGACCATTTATGTCACGCTTTTCCAAGTTGGTGCCCTGCAAGTATTGGAGTACATACCTTATGATCACCAGCAAGCATAAAGGCTTTATATAGTAGTTTCCAGACTTAAATATTGGACTTCTAGAGTTCCTAAACATTAGCTCTGCAGGTGGGGACTTAAGAGTTTAAAGTTCAAGAACACCTGGAGCCCATGTGTTGTTATGGCTTTGGGAGAAAATAAATCTTTTGTGGCACCTTAAAAACTACAGCTAGATTCCTACTCTTCCTTTTCTTGTGTGGAATTGAAATCATGAGAGTTGGCATGGGAAACTTATGAGGTGCTGGTTGTGAGATCAACATATGACCAGCACCTTGCCAGTCAGCCACAGGAGTTTCCACGAGTGGGGAAAACTGACAAGTTGCATTAGGTTTCATGGGCTGCAATCTTATACCCAATAAAGATTGCTAGTCCTCAAGGTGTCACTATTTTATTTTGTTTAAAATGTATACCCCACCTTTCTTCTCCAGAAAATCTATGACTATAGTTTTCGTAGGTATAAATTGCTCTCCTTTAGGGCTAAAACCTCCTAGCTTACATGAACAGACTGGGGTTTGTACTGGTGTTGACCAGAAAAGAAAAGTAGGGAAAGGGTGCTTAAGGTTGTGGTGAAGAGCTCAGTGAAAATGTTGACTCTGCACAGCAACACTGGAAGTGTCAGGTTTAGTCATATTAACAGGTCCTCTGTACAGTTTGGTTGCATCATATCAAAAGGCATATTTTAGAGCTGGGAAAGGGCAAACCCAAAGATCAGTGGCAGCAGAGGGGAAATTTAGTTTGGAAAACAAGATGTGATCAAGGGGGAAATGATAGAGGTTATGCATGGTATATAAAAAAAGGTTCTTTCCCCTTTTATAATGTTAAAATGCTGGATCGTCCAATAAAACTAATTGCCAGTAGATTCAGGGAAGTCAAAAGGAAGTAGTTGACATAGCACAAAATTATTTTTAAAGATGCTTCTGCCCCTGTATTCATGAAGGCTAATCTGACTTTAAAAATAAGATCAGACATTCACAAGGAATAGATCTATCGGTCTACAGACATGTTGAGCTTGGAAATCTTTCTTTCTTTCTTTCTTTCTTCCAATCTCCTATTCACCACTATCAAAGGATTCAATTTCAAAAGCTAACTTTTCCGAAGTCTGGTTCAGAAGCGGTATGTCACTATCACTTTATAGGATGCAAAAACAAGAGAGGACACTTGCGTTTTCATTCTACCTGTGGGATGCTGAAGGCAGCTGATTGGCCTCTGAGAAGCAAGATGCTGCATAAGATGGACTAAGTGGTCCAGTCCTGTTCTTCAAAGGGCTTACTTCCTGGTATTGTCTCTTGGTGCAGTGCTTAAATTAAGACTTAAGACTCTGCTCACAACCTGGGTTTGATCCCGATGAGCTTAGGTAGCTAGCTAGCTTGAGGTTGATTCAGCCTTACATCCTTCAGAGGTCGGTACACTGAATACTCAGATCACCAGGGTGGGATGGGGAACAATGTGTAGCCGGCATAACTAAACTGTAAATTACTCAGAGTGTGCTTTAAGCACTGTGGGGCAGTATATAAGCAGCTTTTAGACTGACATGCTGCTGCCAACCCAGCCTTAGTGATTACAATGATAGAATGATGAGGTTTTGAAAGCTGGAATAGTTCTCAAAATGGTATATTTCCACTTATTTGTAGTTCCTATTGGATTGGATCTATTCCAGCATTCACAAGATTCATAAATGGAACGAGGTTTAGCCCTTACCAGAGAATGCAAGCTGTAGAAAAGTTGTGTGTTGGGTGGATATTTGGGGCTGAGATCAGTTGGGGGTCTCAAACTGTGGTTACTGATAGCATACCAGCTCTATTAAGTGTATACCACAAAAAATTTACAGAACTGTCAGGAATAGCTTTACTTTGTTCTGCAGTTGCATTGTACATGTGCTTTCATCGGTAGAATTTTTAAAAAGTTGATTAAGTGGCATGCTAAAATCATTAACATTTTCAAGTGGCTGGCATGAAAAATGATTTGACATCTGTAACAAGAAATCCCAGATGTAGCTTCAGAAGATAGCCGTCTAAGCCTAAAATGTGTGAGAAGATAACTTCAGGTACCGGTGCAATGTAAAATGGAACATAAATTTGATTCCCTGAAGGCTCACAGAAGACCATGACAAAAGTGACGATAATTCAGTATTGGTACTGGACCTCTTGTTAAGTGGTCTATCTAGATTCTCATGAATCCTTTTTATATGTTAGGTTGACTAATATATGGCCAACTGACTGGGCTCTGAGACACCACCTCTCTTCCAGACTAGCCCTGGACACCTCCCTTGTAGAATTTTGCTTTCTACCACTGAGGCTGCTTTCCCATTGCAAAGCTATCATTCTTCACCTACAAGTCACTCTGAAAGGTGAATGCTGATGTTGGGTTTATACTGGTGCATTACTAGATGCTTCTACCCTCAAACCGCCGCCAAGAGGGGAATTTCTGAGCCCTCCGAGATAGATTTCTCAAGACACATTTCATCCTGCTTCTTTGCTGTGCCTTCTGACCTTTAGAAGACATTCAGTCTCACTCCTCCTCCCAGCATACGAAAGGAATTACAATGCCACTTTGGAACAACCATGTCACAGATTTCAACAAAAGGCTTGCAGGAAGGCCAGAAGCAAAACAACTACTCTTGTACACTGAGGCTTGCACGACATTTCTGCAAGTCTTTTCTGCCACGGTGTTTGTTGGTGGCCTCTTCCCATAGAGAGGGTATAGGGGAATGTATATCCCTCCAGCTGTTGCTGGTCACCATCTCTCATGAGCCCTAACCAAGAGAGTCTGTGGTGAGGAATTACAGGAGAGCCAGTTAATTAATATCTGGAGGGCCACGTTACCCCTCAGGCACAGCCTGGATAATCAGATTGCAACCGAAATTCTGTCACAGACAGAAATGTCACTAGGTTTTCAAAGACATAAAGGAGAATGGTTGAAGCAAACAGATGTTCATTCTCAACATCTCAAACTACACTTTTGCTTCACATTGGCATGATGTCATTGAAAAATTCAAGGCCTGTAAACCATGCTTACAGTTTCAGAACTTATTCACGAATACAGTATATTCTCATGAATATAGGTCTGTTTAAAGTTGTTCACAGAAATTAGAATCTGCATTTTGCAGCAATCCATGCTATTATAGCTGACACTGAGGAATTATTGAAATTATAGTCCAGCAATACAGAACCATAGGATACTGCTTTATGTTTAATGAAGCCACTGATTCATCTAGCCCAGTATTGTCAGCTCTGCTCCGCAGTGGGTCTTCAAAGACAATTGTATACTAACTCTACCTGGAGGCCACTAGAGCTCAGTCTCCAATGAAATCCAAGCGTAACCCTAATTAGCTTCCCAAATCAGATGAAATCAAGTGTGTTCAGGGTAGTAGCATGGTTCAGGGGGATACATTGCCCATCCCAGTTATAAATTCATTTGAAATGTAGTCTGATTCTAAGAACTGAATTTTCAGGTAATTTGGATTTTAGCAGGAAAATAAAATGGTTACCTACCTCTTGAAATCATAGCTAGGCATCTCATCCCTCAGTTTCAGAAAGCTGCTGGGCCTACAGATGGAAGCCTAGCCCAAGCGGCCAACTTAACAGTATGTTCCCCAGCCCAAGCCAACAGTACATTCAGACGTGCTCCACGGGGTGGAGGTCATTCAGACAAATCCAACAGATCTCTGCGGATCCTGTTTATCAATCATCCTTTTATATATAAATATAATTCCCATTTAAATAAATTTCTTTCTCATTTTTACAACAATTGGAAAACAAAACAATCAACAACAACAAAAAACCCAACAACCCCACCCCCCAAAGGAAATGAGCACGGAGTCTCTAGCGGCTCCGGAGGGCCGCTCCGGAGGTAGTTGCTGAATTGTAACACTGGTTCTGTCGGATCAGGGAGAAGGAATCACAGAAGGAGGGGTCAGGGGGATTTTTAGTTCCATCAAGTGGGGCTCCCTGTTTCCCCATCCCTACACAGAGCTCTCGTCCAGCTTTTCGACCAGCTGCGTGTGTTTCCGCTTCTCTAGGATCTTGCTCAGCTCCTCGGTGAAGGAGTTGTAGAGTGGCGAGGTGCATGGCTCCTCGTTCTGCCGCAGCAGCATGTAGCTATTGCCATTCATCTTGCGCAACATGTTGGGCAAGGTAGGGATGCCATTGGTGAACTCCATAGGGAGAGGAGGAGGGGGTGGGGGAGGAGCTGGAGGGGCCTCCTTGGATGGAGAGGCCAGGGTGGTGGCTTCCCCAGGGATAATCTGCAGGCAGCCATCAGGAAAGAGGCCCAGGTCTTCTCCTTCCTCCTCTTCCTGACTTCCTTTACCCATGCAATTGGAGGAGACTGTCTGCAACTCCACGCTGGATGCCTTGGGGACCCCGAGACTGTATTTGCCCTTGCGCTTCTGCAGGCAGGAGACGTAGAGGAGGACCACAGTGAGCACCAGGCACAAGCCCCCCAACATGGTGATGACAGCAATGTAAATAAATCTCATGTCCTCATAAGCATGGCTGGGTGCATGCCCAGATGGGTATGATAATGTTGGGGGTGGCTGGGGCACCAGCTGCTCTGGCAGCACGCTGAGGGTATAAGCAGCCACCAGGGTTCGGAGGCCATTCTCTTCCGCATAGCACCGGTACTCCCCACTGTACTCCATCTGTGTGTCTGTCACCAGCAGTCCATCTACCCCCAAGCGGAAGTGGCCTTCCCTGTCCTCAGCCAGCACTTGGGTCCCGTTCACCAGCCAAGTCGCTCGTGCTAGGTTGGAGGCCTGCTCACAGGGCAAAAGCACGTCATCACCACGCAACACTGTGCGGTTCTTCTGTGCGGCCAGGGCTGCAGGAGGAAATGCACAAACTGGTAAGGGGTCGCAATGAAGTAAGTGGCAAATGAGGGACAGGAGCATCATTTAAGGAAAAGGCACGTAGAACTCCCCAAATGGAAGACCTGAGACCTGATAACACTTTAGAATCAGAGGGATCTGATTCATGCCGGTATTTGTGGCTGAGAAATCTTTCAAAAAAACTCCATGCTCAGGTCCTGAGGACCAATCACAAAACAAGGCAAGCTAATTTTCCAGGGAGTGGAAGAGGCTGCTGGAGTGACATTTAACAATGGGCCTTCAAGAATTTTCCTCTCATAATGATGGATTATCCATAGCCTCTGTTTCCACTGTGAAACTCCCAAAGAGTTTGGGGAGGAATTTAAAAGTTTGCTTTCTGAGAACATCAGTTCATCAATCTTCATTTTTCTTTCTTTCTTTCTTTTAAAAAAGAAGTGCCTAGCCTCCCTCCCTCCTTTTTTGGACTTCTGAGAATCTAGAGAAATTTAGCAGTGCTGGGATGGGCATATTTTCTCACAATTTGGATGGAAAATAGCATCAAAAACTGCTACCTGTGACATCCTCCTTCCATAGCTACTGCTTCTTATGTACATAGATCTATCTTTTATGCCACACTCTTTATATATTTTTTTTCAAAAATGATGCAGGAAAAGGTAACTTTGAAAGAAGAGGACACTGACAGTACAGTGGTGCCTCGCTTGACGATTACCTCGTTAGACGAAGAAATTGCTTGACGATTAGTTTTTTGCGATCGCTATTGCAATTGCTAAATGATGACTGAATGGGCTTTTTTCGCTTAATGTTGATCGGTTCCCTGCTTCGGGACCCAATTTTTCGCTTAACGACGATCAAAAACAGCTGATTGTCGGGTTTCAAAATGGCCACCCGCTGTGCAAAATGGCTCCCCGCTGTGCTTTAGGACGAATTCCTCACATTACAGGCACCGGAAAATGACCGCCCTATGGAGGATCTTCGCTGGACGCTGAGGTATTTCGCTCATTGGAACACATTGAACCGGTTTTCAATGCATTTCTATGAGCTTTTTCATTTCGCTTGACGAGGATTTCACTTAACAGCGATTTGAACGGAACGAATTATCCTTGTCAAGCGGGGCACCGCTATACATAGAAATATATACAAATTTATTAATAGAAATAATTTAGCTTGTACATAATCTTGTGAAGACTTTTTGTTTTTCTTTCTCTTTTTCTCACATAGCCTTATTGTATTGGAAATAAAGTGGAGGTATTTGGTGATATAAAGAAAGCAAATTTTGAATCTGGTCAGGAATGAGAAGAGAAACATATTGCTTGTTCATGTTCCTAGAAGTGGCTGGAAAGAGGTGAGCTGTTCACGTTTGGATTATTCCTCTCTCTGGCCACTGTTCCTTCTTTCAGGCCAAGCCACCAGTTGCTGATAGCAGAACCAAGACTTCTCTATCCCCACCCCCAAAAAAAGCAGAAGGAAGAGACCAAACCAGAGACTTACCCTGGGCGGAGTCATTCCCACAGCCTACACTGCCATGCAGCATGTCCTGGATCAGTAGAGACCTGGCCAAGAAAGCAGGACCTTGATCAGTTGAGAAGGTGCAAAAGACTAAAGACCATCAGCATGCAGTGCACCCCAGAAGAAGTCTACAAGCATGAAGGTGCAGATGAGTAGACACTTGTATACAGCAGGGCCCCCATATCCACGGGGATTGGTTCTAAGCCCCCCATGAATGCTGAAATCTACAGAATAGTGAATGCTATGAATAGCATGGTAGAAGAAAAACCTTCAGAAAAAAGGATTTTCATGATGTATTACCAGAACTGGCTACAGAGACCATGCCACGTATTCTTCATCAATAAGAATACATAGTACGGTCTTGGGCTCTGTCTACTGGCTAGTTCTGGTAAATACACAGTGAAAATACAAATTACAGTACTGGATTTTTCCTTTAATTTCAGACTGTGAATTAAGTGAAACTACAGATGCTGATACAGGGGTTCTACACACAAAAATGCTCATTTCCTGCACCAGAGGTAGGTGAAGCTCCAACCTTCCAGATGCTGATGAACTCATTCTCCTGTTATCCCTTACCCTTAGTCACGATGACAGACACAGAAGAGTAACTTGAGTCCAGCAAGATCTGGGAAACCACAGGTTTCCCTATCCTAAGTGCAACAACATGCATAGCTGCATTTTTCTCCACTGCACACACCACAGACATCTGTAATACCCTACCTGTCCAGCATCTCAGTTAGTTCTCGACAGCTCTCGCCATCCCAACCACAGTACGGATCCCGGGCCAGGATACAATCGAAGCAGGAGAGGTATCGCTTGCAGGTGGACAGTGGCAACTGCAAGACTCCACTCTGGGCCCCCACGTATAGACTCCTCTGCAAAGGAAGTAACATATCCTTAGCACAAACACTACACACCATTTGTGCAGAGCAGAGCAGAGGTGCTGGACTACAGTTCCCATCCTTAGCTAGCAAAGCTAGTGGTGGGGGACAAAGGGAGCTATGATCCAAAAACATCAAAAACGTCACATGTTCCCTGATCCTCCCACAGAGCTAAACAATCCTACCTTGCTCAGCTGCATGGCAGGGAAATTTTGAAGTGTTTAATTAGAGAGACATTGCAACAGACACTAGATTGAGTCTCATATCAAGAGACAGAATACCCAAAAGAACAGCACCTGGACAGATGCCTATAACCCCAGCATAGTTGACCACCACTAAAACCTTACAGATTTTTTCACTTCCGGTCCTCATTCAAGGAGTTACCAGGATGGGGGCTTCAGCAATCTGATGAAGACTGTTATGTCCCATATGTGATCTTTCCCCCACCCCAAGCCAAAAGGGAACCATGTGGTCCAAAAACAAGTGATGGGGGGGGGGGAGAGAGCCTTATGCAGAGTGATGAGCTGCCTCTGTCTAAATACAGAGTGCAATTTTCCAACCACATGGTACCAGGGGTGAAACATTAAACCAAACCCCTACATCCTACCTGTAACCAGCTTCAAACTCATCTTAAGAGGATGCCTGGTAAAGTTTTGCCATGAATGTCTGGGACATTCATTTATTATTTTTCTGCACTGACCACAAATTACTGGTGCATGCCTGAAGAAGGGATTTTTAATTTACAAAAGCTTGCATGAATGGTTGGAATTTTTTGTGTGGTCTAATGAAGGTGCCCCATTTTTCACAGTTGTATTATGTAATAACCACACAGCTTCCTCTTTTCTTTTTTAAGCTTGGGAAAGTTAATTTTATGGATTACAAACTTTTAGAATCTCCCAGCAAGAAAAGGGCAGATTTTACAAGTCGTATTCTCTAAAAGAAAAATTTCCAAGGTCAGGATGGAGCCAAGATTCTTGGAGAAGTGGGGCTCATCTGGACCCTGCAACTTAATTGCTGTTGTTGGCGATCAGAGTTGCAGGACCCCAGTTTGTCCAGCAGAGGGAAGCAGTAGAACACAGCAGGAGGTGGGCATTACTCATGCAGCCACTTGTCCCCGGACAGATTTCTCTAGCAACACATATGCCCTTCATATGTGTTGCACCACATCAAATTGAAAGTGAAGAACAGTATTCCTTTTCTATATCCCACCTCCTGGTGTACAGAGATGGCTCTCCAAAACTCCCAAATGCCTGGGACCAAGGCTCATGTCTCCATGTGAGGGTTTACTGAAATGAAAGAGGAGGTAGAAAGCCAAGAAAAGAGCAACAGGCCCTCCCTGCATCCTACTTACATTCTTTCTTTTAACAAGCAGCCAGATGTGCAGGAATTTATCAGGGAATGCATTTCTTTCCCCTTCTGTTAAGTCAGGAGAAGCATCACCCATGGAATATCTGAGTCTCAGATTGCCAGTTAAACCTTGGCCAGGCAGGAAAAAAGGGTGCCAGCTCCAGAAAAGAAAAAAAACTTATCTGCCACCATCAATTCACAGCCGATTTACAGCAATCTTAACAGCACTTTCAAGGTAAGTGAAATATTTAAGGAGTAGCTTCAACAGTAACACGCCCCCCTCACCAGTGAATTTCCAGGGTTGATCAGGGATTTGAACCCAGTTCTCCTGTGCCCTTGTCTGTCACTCTATCCGCAGCTGAGGACCTACCTATACAAGAACTATACAGCACAATACTTTATACCAATGTCTTGTAGCAACCTTTGTTAACCTTGCACCTCCCCCACAGATGTGTTGTACAGTACTCAATTTCCATCACCTTTCTGGGAGCATGGGGTTAATGGGAGTTGTTGTCCAACATATTTGGAGGGATGCAGGTTGGAGAAGACCATTTTAGAGATTAAACAACATCTCATTCTGCAGCCCTGGCACAAATCCCATACAGCTGAAGCTTTAACCACCATCTGGGGACAGAGCTGACAATAAGCTTTGGCATTTTTTGCCTGGTGAGAATAGAGAAATTCAGTGTTTTCTGTGACTACCATTTTCTGCCTATTAGTTTTCTGCCTGTTGGGAAATCATTAAAGGCACAAAGGATCTGTTAGGAAAATAGAAACAAAAAGTGGTAGCCCTAAGTGGAAGGAGGAGAACCTCTGGAACCAAAATAAGCTACTGCTACCTTGAAATACTACTACCACCACCCCTGGTATCCATCTTTGCTGAGTCCACAACCCCACAATGTATATTTTTATATAAATCTGTGGCAAAATAATCCACTGGATGTGTCGGAAGAAGCGGCTTGCAACCCACAGTTCACATGAAAATAAATCTGTTAAACTTTGTTTTTATGCTTTCATGCTTTGTTTTTATCATGTATCTACACATGTGAAGTGAATGGCCTTACAGTAGGCAAAGAACTGCAATAGCCAGCGCCTAAAGAGAGCAAAGGGCTCCAACCAGTTAGTCCAGAAATGCAGAGGATATGGCCTGCCCACGGACAGGTGGGAGTTAACACACTGGATGGCAGCCACTTAGCTAAGGGCAAGGCCAAATAAATACCCTCAAGGCCCTGCTTTATCTCACCTCGCCTTATTGGCAGAGATGACAGGAATTAGATCACACAAGGTAGAAAAAGAAAATCACACTCACGTCTTGCATTCCATTTTTCCCCCTCCAAAAAGGATAGTTCAGAAGAGAACCATACCTTGACAGATGGTACATTTCACAGTTTGCTAATGTGGGCAGTTTTGTGGAGGGTAGAAAAAGTGAACATTCAGATCTTACAATCTTATCTGGATGTTTTGGGCTAGATTGTGGTAGAGATCTGGGTGTGAGTTAAGGACAAAATTGAGGCTTCTCTGCTTTGATTCCCAAACTGGTAATGGGACAAAAGACAAGATGTGATTCCTCCAGTCTTTTCCATGCACTGCTTTTTAAGGGGATCTTAAGGCTGTCTTCCCCCACCTGGTGCCCTCTAAAATGTATTGTCATCACCTCCAGAAACGTCCAGCTAGCATGAGATAATTGCCTTGCTCACAGGGCAGCACATGAGGAAAGGCATTTAAAGGCATAGGGGGAGGACATTAATACCGTTATAGCTATACCTGCTGTTTAGAAATGACGAGGTTCTCCACAGGCTGGAGATTTTTGAAGGCCTGGATCTCTTCTATAATGTGGACCATGGACCTGATGACGACTGCCTTGTGTATCCAGCCATTACCTGATGGAAATTAAATTAAAAAGAATAGCAAGGAACGTTATCCATATGGTCTCATGTTAGACTACAGTCATACAGGCAGCATTCAGTGTGCTAAGCCTATGAAGAGCCTGTTTGCAGCTGAGATCTAGCTGGCTGGCAGAAGTCAAATGTCTTGGTAAAGGAGAGGGTCCATGCTATTTGATTTTTAGAAGGAGCAGAAGGGTACCAAAATAGCATAGACTGAATAATTAGAACTGTACTTCTGAGAAGAATTAACAGCATCCTAAATACTGCCCCATAGTTGTGATTCCCAAGTCTGCAGTGGAATTTTGTTATAAAAGGGTTCAGTCATGATGCTGAAGTACATTCCCCTTAGAGCACTTTCCTAATGATTTTTCTCCCCCAAACCCAGTTGAATTTTGATCTCTCTGTTGTGAACTGTTTTTGTTTTTAAGAAAGGGAAACCCCACCTTCACCAAGTCAACAGCTAAGCGAAGCGTGGAAGCACAGCAAGAAGATAAGGTCACCCACTGATTTGGAGTTAACCCCACCTTCACCAAGTCAACAGCTAAGTGAAGCGTGGAACACAGCAAGAAGTAGAAGATAAGGTCACCCACTGATTTGGAGTTTGCTGGGCACAGTCACACCGTGTAGCAGAAAAAGCAGCACCCTCACCTATTTACAGGTGATTTGTTTGCTGACCAACAGTGATTAGGATAGCAGCTATCTGTCACAGCTGCCTTTCAGCCAAGGGAGATTTTCACTAGATGGCCAAGCCCTAGTATTTTCTCCTACAAACAAATCCTGAGATTCACTGGTATATGTTTGGAGGGTGCACACCGCTGCACCCTATGTTTGCCTAAGGCCTCATAGAGGACAGCACAGTCACTGAATGCCAGCATGCATGAGGCATGATATATCCAGACACCCTACCTGTTCCCAAGAAAAGCACGTTGTACACCTGCCCATCCAGGCCCCGGACTCTGTCTACTGCTACTTGGGTATAAATTGCATTTTTCTTCACTAATAAGGGGGCTCCATCCACAGGCTTCCCAGGTCGTAAGCAGTTTTAGCTGCAGTACAGCGATTTAACCACTGTGCCACGAGGCTCAGTAAGGCATGATATATACAGACACCCTACCTGTTCCCAAGAAAAGCACGTTGTACACCTGCCCATCCAGGCCCCGGACTCTGTCTACTGCTACTTGGGTATAAATTGCATTTTTCTTCACTAATAAGGGGGCTCCATCCACAGGCTTCACCTCTTCATACATCAGTGGATGGAGCTTGATAAAATCCAGCACGTTGTTGGGCAGGTCTTGAGAGGAGTTGTAGCCACTTTTGCGAGCACGATTAGTGATGCACTGCAGAGGAGAGATGGATTATTATTGACACCACCCGCTGCAAGGCTATAGGAGAGGCATAAAGCTTAAGAACTTCCATGAGTTGGGGGCCATGTTGTCTCCTCCAGAATCTCACTACCCACAAAATGCAGTAGGAACTAGAGTGGTTTCTTAAGGTGCATGAAGGTGCCAGAGGGCCTTCCCTGCCTCAAACAGCTCTGTCAGTCTGCACAGCAGAGCATCTTCTTTCCTTTGCTCCCCTGTAGCAGTGGCAGCACCAATTTTCAACCTTAAGTTTAATCACTAGCAGAAAACAGACATGACGGCACTGAGGCCTGTGGGGAAGACTTGTGTGTTGGTCAGCACTGTTCTAAGAGCTAAAACCCACAAAGGCCTTGTGATGGGATCATACTACCTTCATACTGAAGGCAGAAGACTGAACATTCTCCTACATAAAGAATATTTCTGTATGTAGAAAATCATGTTCAAATGTGGAATTTTGTAGTCCAAAGAAAATTATTTTATGTTAGGGGCAGGCAAAGTGCAGTCCTCCAAAATGTTTCTGGCTTTCAGTACCCATCTCTGCTGACCACTGATGATGCTTACTAGGACTGATAGCATTCACGGCCCAGCACCATCTGGAGGGCCATGTGCCCCCTCCCATGCAGAGGAACATTTGAGCACAACTGTATGATTACTGCAGGTATTATCTAACTTTCACATGCACCCTAGAATCCAATTTGGAACAAAGACAAGGGCTATGTATCAAGTCAACCAACCAACCAATCAATCAGTCAGACAATCTAGAGGATGGGGCTTCTGCATCTTGGTTTTCATTTGTTTGAGCCATTCTGCTTCTTGGAGGAAGGAAGTCTTGTGTGTGACTTTTGCCTCATTAGTATGGAATGGAAGACAAAAGAAAATAACTTACTGATCCTGGCCGAGGCACTGGGACATCCCCAGTATACTGGGACCATTTGCGGGAGGAGTCCTGGTATTCCATATAAGGCCCTAAGAAAGCTGCCCGCACCTCAGATATGTTGTATCGGCAGACGGCAGACACCTCCATGCTCCTCCTGGAAGACAGATGGACACGATCATGAAACTGGGGCAAGGCCTTCTACTTCTTCCAGAATCCCCTGGATGCCCTTTCATGTACTGTTGGCGGACAGCAGCAAACCCAAAAGAGGGCAGGGTCATTCCTGATTTCTTACTCTTTGCCACCTCCTTCCTGTTCTCTCTCTCTCTCTCTTCCTTTCTTTTTCTCCCCTCACCACCCACGGCTAGGAGAGTTTTGCTTTTTTTAGGAGAGTTTTGAGCTCCTGCCGACAGCCACATACTACCCACAGCTGCAGGCTGCCCGTATGCACTTTAAGCCCTTTCACTCTCCACCAAAGGATGGGGCTTGGAACAGTTGTCAGAACCAGCAGAAAGATGTGAGGATTCTTGTTTGCAATATGCTGTCTGTGGACTTCCAAGCTCAGCATTAGCACACAGAACCCTCCGGCAGCTGCCAAGCTCTCAAGAGCCACCAGAACCCAAGCAGAAACCAGGGTGCACTTATGTTTTCCTGGGACTTGTTGCTGAGTGTCTATGTCCAACGAAGCACATTTTCCAGCATGCTAATTTCCTACAGTGCTGCTGACATTAAAACAATGGGGAGTCAAGGCAGTCAGGAAAATCATATTACCTGCCAGTAGCCTGTTTTAGTGTCCCACACCATGATTTTCTTAGCAATACAAACATAGGCAATCAGGCTTACAAACAAAACTGGTGTTTATTTTCCAGCGTAATGAAGGGCAAGACATGGAGCTATGTGAAAGCATATATGGTGAGAAACAGATGTCTTTTTAGCACCTAAAGGAAGCTCTGTTTCTAACAATATGCTAAGTGAATTGTCTAGTCCACTGGTTCACAAACAGAAGGGGTGTCCCTGTCATCTTAGGAAGGCATGAAGAAATTCTAAAGAAAGCTGTGGGACTGTGGTCACTCTACTTATTAAATCTGCATTGTTTCTGCTATTTCTTAAAGTAAATTACAATTTTTATTAATTTTTTTGTGACAAGAGAATTGACTAACGGTGATATTTTATTTTAAACAATGTACTATCAAGTTTTGCATTAATTTTTAATTTTTAATTACAGCTTGAATATTGTATTAAAAGAGGGGTTTGATGGTAGTAAAGGAGAAGAGAGGCATTCTCAGAAATCAAAGTGTGGGTGGAAGGCTGAAAAGTCTGGTGACGGCTGGTCTAGTGTGATCCAGCCTCATGGATAAAATGCTGGCTCAGTGCTGGTTGCAGCTCTGCAAGCTGCCCTTTGGAGCAGCTTAGAGTAATGCAATGTCTAGGTGTATGTTTGACCTGAAACACAATTTTCAAGGCAGTAGTTACTTTAGTCTGCTTCAGTATAAAAATAAATTTGTAGTTGTGCCAAATACATTCTTTTTCTTTCTTTCTTTTTTCCCCCTTCTTTTTTGGGGAGAGGAATCAAGTTAAAATCCCATCATTTTAACTTAAGGAAGCAATATAAGAATATAGCCCTCACTCCGTCAAGAGCTTTCCCATAAGAAAATGCACAGCCCAGGCAAAAACACTTTCCTAGCCTTGACATAACCATTTCCTGGATGAATTTGGCAAGACTATGATCACGAAGATACCTCATGAGTTCAAAAACAGCCTTTTGGGGTTCCATGGCTAGTGCTAATTAAGAAGTATATTTTATGTACAATTCCAATACTATTTGGACAATAGCTTTCTGGTTGTTGTTTTGCTTTAACTGCAGATCTTCTACGCTGGCAAACGTTACAAAAGCACCAAAGTTGCTAACCAATGCAACTCTACATTATTAAACTCACACGGAGGCTAATCACTAATAGAAAATTCCAAAGGGCTGGCTAAGACTTCTGCCTGGACTCAGCCCAACAATGCTGAAAGAAAAAGCACAACAACTGTGATTGTTGTTGCAACCCATACAGTGAATAGTATCGACTCCCCCCCCCCGGAGGGCAACTCCCCCCCCCCCCGGGGAGGGCAAATCCAGAATAATGGATTAATTCTCTCCCCATCCTTTGCAGTCACCAACTATCTCCTACTTTAACAGATATTATTAAATTATTTCACAAATGTTCCCCCAAAGGGCTTCCCCTCATAAAGTCCTAAATAAAGTGTCCCATCTGTTTCTTGCTCTTAGCACAATGAATCCATTTCAGGTGCCAAAAAAATTTCAAGACAAGGAGGATTTATTAGCAACCAAACGCATGTGTCTCTCTTGTGCTCCATCCGCTCACCCACTGACAGACACTGTTGGCTGTGGGTCAAGGGAGTGAAAGAATCTCCGGACTCCCACTGCAGTAGAAAATGCAGGCTGCCCAGCTTTGGAAAGAGATGAGCAACCTTCCAGTCCTCCCTTGAAGCGGAGCAGAAGAAATCTCTAGGAAGGCTAGATATTATCTCGGTAGCAGCTTCCAGGCTGTGGCGCCGCCTTCTAAAGGAGACGGTGCTGTCTTCCCTCCTTGCCACCTGCTACTGGCAGAGAAATGCCTTTCTACCAGGAGAGCTTTTGGCAGCTGACTGGGTGCTGAAGAAGGGTGTGTGTTTTTTGCTGGTAGATGCTGTGCTTTTAAACTGTCATTCAATAGCTTTCAATTCAATTATGTTTAACTATTACAAGCAATATTTGTATCTGTTTGTAGCTCTTGCTGTGAGATGCTTTTAATCCCGCTTTGGAAAGAACAATAACATACAAATCAAATCAAAACCATTCCAAGGTGGATTAGATCCACACCCACCATTGTGACTCTGGGCAGAGACTGCACCATGCACACACTCCCTCGAAATACCAAAGTTGGTTTCATTTGCTTTATCGCTCTACTGCTCAGCTAGCAGTATGGTGCAATTCTGCAGTCCATCAAGCAGAGTTACAAACACACTCAGTACACAAAGAAGGGTCACAGTGCCTCTTGCACTGTTTCTGTCTTGCTCCCTAAAAATCCCTAGCATTTGATTGGCTTTGTGTGTGTCTGTGTGTGTGTCAACACGCTGACAGCAATGTTACTCAGTCACATTATTCAGAGAGCTTCAAAACATTACTTTGGATGACAGCTCCCAAAGGAACAGCACAGTCACCAACTATGCTAGCTGGGAAACTCTAGAAGTTATAATCCAAAAACCAAGCCAACAGACCTCTTTTCCCCAAGCTTTGGTTATTTTTAACAGATTCCATGGCATCTTTCCTGAACAGCTACAGTGTAAGTATGCTTGGCTCACCATTGTGCTGATAAGGTGAATATTGCATAGAAGACTGTGCTCCGCCAGTCACCACTGTCCAGACTGTAAACATCCTTGAGGACCTCATAGTAGGGAATGTAACAGGCCAGCCTTGCTTTCGTGAAGGATGTCCATTTCCTCTGGAGGATCTTCTTACCACCAACATCATTCTGGCATAAAAAAGAAAGAAAGGCTATAAAAAGACCCTGTTCAGCTTATATGGGTGGGGAACAATTAATGGCAAGGCCAATTCAGACATCTGCATAGCCTCACTATCCACAAAAAGAATTAAGATGAAAAAATAGCATATTTTGAGTCAGAAAATCTTTTGCCCTCCAGAAGGTTTAAAGTATCACTTCTAAAATATCCTTAGCAATGCAGATGCAAGTGAAGCAGAGCTTGGGAAAGTCACTCTTTTTAGACTACAGCTCCCAAAATCACCTCTGGCAGCAGGCCAGTCTGTCTCTGGGCTAAGGGGAGATGAAGGTAAAAATATGTGGATGGCCAAAGGTTTTTCACCCATAGAATATATAAATGGAAATGTTCAAGGAAATGTAACTCTGGTTACCGAGTTCCTACAGGACAGCTTCTATTTATATGCAGTTGAAACATAACTATGCAGATCAGCAGTTTCTATACTTTTGCAGTGGCACTCCTATCAACATTCACATGTGGTCAAACAGGGGCCAGGTCAGTTTACTATGTCTGAAATCATCATCCGCTTATTTGCAAACCAGGAATGGCTCTAGAGAAGCCTCCCTATTTTCCTTAAAAAATACCCAAGGGTTGATTGTTCCATGATAGACATGGAGCATCTACTCAAAGTGCTGACTAACATTGAAAGAAGCCTCCTGAATTATCCTTGCTAATCTTGCACTTTCTGAGAAGCCTTTAAGTCCGCCTGTGAGTCTGAATGACAGTTAACATGCCATTAGAAACAGAGGTCCCTTAAGAGGAAAAGTCTATTTATTCTAACAGGCCTTTGCCTCAGTCTGTACTGGCCAATTAACCTACTTTCATTGTGTCCTTAGGTACAATGTCTGATTTCTCAGGCACGTTGCTCTGAGGGATTTGTGACCCTAGAAGGATAATGTTGGAAGGGGAGGAAAGATGCCTTTGCCTGGTCATGTGATGGAAGGACTGCAAGGACTGAGAGGGGCCTGACGGCTCTCCTTTAGCAACAAAAGCGAGTGAAGCAGAGGACAACATCATGGAGGAGTTTCTGTCTCCCTGACAGCTCCACAAGCCAAGATGCAATCAAACCCTCAGGCCCTAGAGAAAGCAAACAAAGCCTAGTGCCAAAGACAAGCAATCTGAGTGCAGTGGTGCACATTCCCTTCACAAAGAGCCAAGTCCTAATCTCTCCTCTGTAGCTTTCACATCCTCCCGCCCCTTGGCTCCGACCCCCTCCTGGAGCCTTCTCCCTGGGAACATACTTATATGCAGTAATCAAATCGCCTCTTAACCTTGTGATCAGGCATACAGCGCAAGCTCCTTAAATCTCTTGTGGCCACACTCACGCCCAGGTTCCTTTCCCAGGCTGCTCCAATTTTCTATCACTGCTGCCCTGCCTGTGAGGACTAAGGCATAAATTCAGAGCCACAAGCAGCATCCCTGATGCTCACAGACCCAGAACCATCTGTTCAATCAGCCAAAAGATGAATCCCATGCAGTCTTGTTGGCTCTGATCAGCTCTTGCTCAGCTGCACTTGGACATCTCAAGCCACAGAGACCTGTCGTTTACAACCTGTCTGGAAAGATGGACTTAAAACCCCCGAGCCCTGAACAGAGCCGGACCCGCCTGGTGGAGGCTCAGTGCAAAGATGTGCGCTCTGACAATCCTCCCTCTTGGAGGAGACCTTGCGAGCAGCATTGGCAGTGCTGACTGCTGCAGTTGCTGGAGCGATATGGCTAATTCAAGAGCCAAGGGCACCTTGCTACTAACACGGCCAGAAGCTTGTATCGTCCCCATCTGATCTGGCATCACAGGCCGAAATGACTTGGTGTTTGTCCTTGCAGCAGACACTGCAGTTACTGTGGTTCTTTCTTATGCATTTACCCCATTTGCATTTGTTCACAGGGAACTTTGAGGGCTGCCTGACCCCAAGCTTGAAAGGAGTAAGTTACACAAGTATTTTACATAAATATGCCACCAGTTGTAGCAAGTTCATTTTTCTCTCAGAAGTGATGAAAAGTGTCACTTCCCTGCCATCATGAATAATTTTTTCAATAACTCTTTAAGGGCATCTTTAAGTATTTTAGCCAGTAAATTATCAAGTTGTGTGCTTTTATCTTAATAATCGTATGGTGATCTCCTCCCGTCCAGTAAAAGAAAATAACAAGTGAGATAACAAGTTGCCTTCTAAGCCATGCAACAAATATTGATGCTAACAAGTAACAGGAACAAATTACTTCTTAAAAGAAACTTTCCAAGCTCTAATATGACATCATCCCCACAGCAGTCTTGAGAGGTAAGCAGCGGGAAGAGATAGCAGTGATCTACAAAGTTCCAGACTGAGCAGGAATTTAAACCAAAGACTGCAACCCTAACCACACTCAGTTATAAGACTTACTTAACTCAACGGGGTCTACTTTTGAGTGAATGTAACTAGGATCACACTGCAAGGACCTCTGTCAGAAACCCACCACACACTGTCTGTCCCATTTCAAGACACTGCATGGTCTCTTGCTGGTACTTTACCAATGTTGCATGGCCTCAAAGTACTACTCCACCTTTGTTCAGGATAGCCAATTTTGCCAAATGAGTATCAGTAAACAAAGTCGTGGCATTATAAAGGGATCTCAGCATGAATTATATCAAAAGTACATCAGATATGTCCCCAGAATAAAAAAAAATTCAAAACAGTACAAAAGAATACAGTAATATGCTAAAAGAGATATTTTTTAATATGATAACAATAGCATTGTCACCTGGAAGCTTGTTACAGTGGTGCCTCACTTAGCGATTGCCTCGTTTAACGATGTATTCGCTTAGCGATAGGTTTTTTTGAGGAATTTTCCGCATCGTTTAACGATGTTCTCTATGGGCGATTTTCGCTTAGCGATTTCGGGATCTTGCTTCGCTTAACGATGACAGTTTAGGTCCCCCTGTTTCGCTTAATGATGTCCGTTTTCGGTAATTTAAAAGTGTCTTAAAATGTTCAAAAACTGTTTTAAATGCTTGGGATCGTTAGTGCACCTTGTAAAACCTTTGCAAACTTAATATGGCTTTGTTCTGACTCTTCGTTAATTTTTGGTGAATTTTTTTCTCCCCCATTGGAATGCATTGAACAGCAGGTTTGACAGCTGGGGGAGAAAAAAAATCACCAAAAATTAACGAAGAGTCAGAACAAAGACAAATTAAGATTGCAAAGGTTTTACAAGGTGCACTAACGATCCCAAGCATTTAAAACAGTTTTTGAACATTTTAAGACACTTTTAAATTAGGGAAAACAGACATTGCAGAACCATTGGAATGCACTGAATAGGTTTCAATGCATTCCAATGGGGGAAACATTGTTTCGCTTAGCGATGTTTCCTATGGTGATTTTCGCTTAAGGATGGCAATCTGTTCCCATTGGAACGGATTAACCGGTTTTCAATGCATTCCTATGGGAAATGGTGTTTCGCTTAGGGATGTTTTCCCATAGCGATGTTTTTTTTTAAACCAATTAACATCGTTAAGCGAGGCACCACTGTATTAGGCTTTTACATGCAATTTTAATTCCACCTGGGCCTATTCTCATTCTTGGTCCCAATCCCATCCTCACACTACGTCCACTGTATTATAAACTTGTGGCCCACCTATAGTGCTCCACGGGGTTTGAAGAAGAGGACTGTACCCAGGGCAGCTCATGTTGAAACAAATCTGTTAGCCTTAAAGGTATCACAATGCTGCTTCATTTCTGTTTTGTTTTTCCTGTTTGCTGAAACAGACTAAGGTGGCTGGCTGCCTCTTTGAAAAGAGATCATTATGATGATAATTTCATAAAAGTAATTAACTTTTGAACAAGCTTTCACAATTCAGCAGAAAAGGAACAAAGGGCCTGGGAGCATGTGAAAGGAAAACAGGCACTGCTAAGCAGAGAGTCTGGGGTTCAGTATCCTCCTCTTGGCATTCCTGCTTCTATAAATGGCACTTGCCCTGCTCTCAGGCTATTCTGAGTCCTGAATCATACCAGCTTCCACACAGAATCTATGGATTAAGCAGAATCCTTTTTGAGAAATGGCCCTACCCCTTTCAGTCGAAGAATGAGCTCTAATTTCAAAGGAGTCAAAGGCAGGCTGCTCCCATCCCTAGAATGTGAGATTGTCAAGACACTGGGGTGCATTTGCCACCTTACCTATTACATGGAATGGCAACACTCAGCTTCTCTATTTTACCTGTTCCCCAGGGAATGCTATTGCCAGCGGTAATCCCACTACTGCACCATTCTCTTGGGGAAACATGCTGCACTGGCACTAGGAATTTTGTTCCTCAGCAGCATTACACTGTACCTTCCTAGCAGCCTCCCTAGAAGGCCCATAATCCCCCCCATACCAGAGTCAGTCAATAATCCATCTGTGGCATTTTAAACCAGTCTACGTTTCATCCTGCTTTCAGAGTCAGGCCCATATACAGTCGTACCCTGCTTAACGATTGCCCCACATTACAACGAATCCGCTTTACGACGATGGTCTAAATGGGGGAATTTCGCTTAGCGATGATCAGTTCCCTGCTTCAGGAACTGATTTTCGCTTTACGACGATCAAAAACAGCAGATTGTCGGGTTTTCAAAATGGTCGCTGGGTGCTTAAAATGGCTCCCCGCTGTGCTTAGGGACGGATTGCTCACTATACAGGCACCGAAAATGGCCGCCGTATGGAGGATCTTCGCTGGACAGTGAGTTTTTAGCCCACTGGAACGCATTGAGGGGTTTTCAATGTGTTTCAATGTGCTTTTTAATTTCGCTTTACGATGTTTTCGCTTAACAGCAATTTTCCTGGAATTGATTATCGTTGTTAAGTGAGACACCACTATACAGTAAATCTGTACAGAAAAAAAATCCAGAAAAAAATATATATAAGGCCGTGTGTCACCTCTGATGGATCAGTTACATTCAAGACATGAGCACAGTAGGTGCAACAGTCACAGCTAAGCACAAATGTTCCAACCCCTGCTCCAATCTGGGTATCCAGGTCTAGGAGTCCATTCAAGAGTACTGTACTGACAACCTACAATTCTGTTTCAAAGCATCAATGCCACTCTCCAAGAGTGAAGATTTTATTTAACTTTTCTGCCAATAAAAAAGAGAAAACAGGCTGGTAATCTTTTTTTTCCCCTTCAAAAAAGAAATTCAACTTTTGGTAACACAACTCTGGGCACCTCTGGAAAGCGCTTCTGTCCCTTTTGAGATGACTTTTACAGGGATTTCCAGCATGTAGAAGACTGAATTGTTCTTAAAGTCCCAGTCATGCAGTCCTTTTGAAGATGAGGTGTTAAATGGAAGGCTACCTGCTCCTCCACAGCTATGTTTGCCATTTCAAGAACCCTGGTTTGCTAAAATCTATTTTAATTCACTTTCCCTTGCACCCTTTCCCTGACTAAAAGTCCTCTTCCCTTCAACTGTTTATTTATGCTGGGGGTGGGGAGGTGGGTGCAACGTAACCTGTAATGGGTCCCTCTCTTCATCTACCTCCGTCCTGCCTTAGCAGCTAAAAGCAGATCAGGATGAGCACTAGAAGTGGCTCCTCTTGCACTACAATCCCACTAGACGGCCCTCCCCCAACTCTGGTGGCTGCTCTGAATCAAAGGGCAAAAGGTCATTCAGGTGACCCATCACCAATTTCCCATGCTACATCTCACTTCTTCTTTAGTTCCCTTTTAGACAAATGACTTTCTGACCACAGAGTGTGAAAAATGCCCAGGGAAGAGGCACCCTGCCTGCCCTCCCTTCTCCTCCCTTGTCAGTATTATGCACTTGCGTAGCAGGCTAAAAAAATCCTTCCAATGCCCTGCAGCAGACTCAGGCCTTTACGTCACACTCGTCTCTTTACCTTACACACTCGAGCCACCCTGGCTACCCGGGGCGCTTGTGCCTTGTCAAATATTGAGGTGGTCTCCTCTCCAGCTCGCTCTGTGAAGAAGTAGTAGATCTTGTCATCATCTCCCACAGGGCTCCTCACACTCTCTCGGACTAGCACGGAGGCCACAAAATCAGCATCTGCTCAAACCAAGGGGAGGGAAACAATTAGGGCTGCTGTGTCTGCAACTGGAAAAAGAACAGGCAGTTGCAAAGCTAGACAGTGCACCACCACGGCAACACTAGCACTGCAAGACTTTGAGTCTATCCTGGATGGGGTAGGGGGGGAAGCATGCCACCAACCAAAAAAGGAAAAGAAAAGAAAAAGAAAAGCGTGCTGCTTATAAAAGGGAGCAACACATACTGAAACCGGATCTGCATCTTTCCTGGAGCCAGACAGGCAGGCCAAATTACACATTACAGATAATATAGGAAAATCTAGTTGTCATAGTAGGAGTTTGTCATGTCCTCCACAGTTTGCAAATTAGCTTCCTTTTTTTTAATGGGTTGCTGGAAGGTAAGAGCAAGTCTAGAAAGGTCTCCCAGAACAACTTCTCCAAAACACTTCTGTACATCCAGCTCCTGGTTATCTTTTATCTCGAATGTACGGTTTGATCCATAAGTTACTTGCTGCAGTTTATTTAATTCTGAGCAAATTAGAGCAATGGTGAGAGTCTGGAAGCAGGAGTACTGCAGATCTTTTTTTTAAAAAAAGGTTTCCTTCATCTCTTTTGAAGGAAAAGGCAGGAGAGACAATGAGATGCTGTTCTGGGGTTTGCAGACCCTACCATTTAGCCAGTGCAGAGGAGACTCTTCAGTCTTTAGAATCCGCTGGTACCGGTTGCGCCTGATGTCTGGCAAGCTGCGGAATTCATAGCGTGTTGCTGTATATAAACTACCATCTGGGAGAGATAAACACAGTAAAAGAGAAATAAAGAAAAGCAGGCATTTTTCCCCTCAATGGCTTAGCTCACTGAATGATCAATAGATACATCGGAGCTGAAAGGCCCCTTTCCTTGTTAAAATGACCTTTCAATACCTATCGTGAAGAAAGGCAACACACCGTTCTAACAGTCACAGACATTCTCCTGGGAATTTATTGACAATTACGTGTGCCACTCCGTGACTGCTTGCCTGTACAACCAGGCACAGAGGGAGGGTTGGTGGAAGAACTAGAGCATTATGAGCTCATAATTTCTCTGTCCTTTCACCAAATGGCCACACCTGGAAAGGAACCAGTTGGGTTGTATGGCTGGTGAGGCCTGGAGCTGTTCAGCGAGAGAGACAGCAGCAGTTCTCGCATTCAAACAAGGAAAGCTAAGTGCTGGATAAAAAGGGCAGTAATGCATTGGGCTCTGAGACAATGGACACCTGAAACATCTGCATCCACACACTCCAGAAAGTCATTTCCTGCTCAATTTAGTCTATCGTAATCCAAATAGAATTGCAGCATGGAAAACCCCAGGAGAAAAGACAAGCACATACCCACAATAAGCCCCGTGTAGCCATGAGCAGGGTCATACGGGCATTTTTCCTTTCCTTCCTCAAAGTAAGAGGGCAGCGTGAAATTGTTGGTATCCTGCAGAATATGAGCAGAAGAGACAGATCACCCTCAGGAAAGAAGATTATGAGGACGATATAACCCACCCTGCCCACTGCCTCCTAACACCAAAGGTACCAACTGGATACTGAGCCCTGACCAACTGCCCATCTGTTCCCAGTGTAGAGTTTGTCCACACAAAGGTGCTGTTCTGGAGCATACGTTGTTGACTGAACTGTTTTGATCATCCCAGTGTGCATCAAGGTATATGAGGGCATTTGTTGCTGGTTTCATTGGTATATACCAAAACATCCTGAGCCCAACTTGAAATGTTTCCTAACATTTATTTTCTGGCCTGTACTGCATTCTCTTTTTGCCTGTCATCCCCATACTAACTCTGCCTAATTCATTCTCACCTTGTTTCACTCACCCATCATCTGTCCAGATCACACTTTCATTAACTGCACCATCTCCAACCCTCCAAACTTCTACTTATTTACAGTACTTGAGCTGAAGACGGGTAGAAATTATTAAACTGCTGAGAGTGTCATCAATAAAGCTCATACAGAGATGGAAGCTAAAAAGGTATTTTGGAGAGAAAAAAAATGGAAAAAGTCAGCCATAATGATACCGGTGTACTGTGGGCTATTCATATTTCTGTGTCTGTGCCTGGAGATATATGTCATCTAAAGTGACACTTTATGCCTGTGATGTGGACTTCATTCCATGAAAGCTTATGATAATCTTTAAAGTCTGCAAAGTGTCTTTGCTGTTTTCACTGCTATAAACTAAAAGAGCTATCCTCGCTTCATGTTTAAACCGACCAAATCTATTTATGATATTGATTTTCTATTTGTGATATTGATTTTCGATTCTTCTTCTTTGTCTTCTTCCTATTCCCACTGGGTTTTAAATTTGATGTGTTGCTGCTGTTTAGCTTTTTATATTACCAGTTATCGATTTTATAATTTAATCTGCATGATATTTTTGCCTTTTTGTTCGTCACCATGCATATATCTGAAAAGCATAAAAATAAGACAGCTGTGTTTCAAAATAAACAACCAAGAGTGTAGTGAAGGTCCTCAGCCACAGACAGTAGTATAACCTCCTGCTGGATAACAAATGAGACCTCTGATCCATAGATCAGTGAAACATTGGGCTCTGTTCCGTTAAACTTATTTCCACTAGGAGACATAGTGGAATGGAGGATGCTTAAAAGAGAAAACCAGACACCCATGAAGGATATGTCTGATATAAATACATGAGCAGACTGTAGAGAACTTTGTAAAAGAGGAGAAATAAGAGGCACTCTCCAGCTTAAGAGACAAATTTATGCAACCAACGATACAGTGAATGAAAGAAAACAATAATGGAACTACTCTGATGGCAAAGACCGAAGACAAGTGAACTCTGGATTATAATTCATCTTCCTACTGAGTGGGCTACAGTCCCAAAAAGTTCCTGTTATGGCATACATGTCACTGTTTTTGCTACCACAGTTTTAACAAAACTAAATGTTTGGAAAGTTAGTGACGGTTGATCCAAAGTCTAAGAAACCTCTGCTCTGGTATTTTTCCTACAGGAATGATGTGTGACCCAAAAGTTACCTTCCAGAAGTATATTATGTTGAGGAGGGGGAAACTTGAAATTTGGTTATTTTCTTTCTAGTGCAGAGAAAAGCATAGAGAGGGCGATCCTGTCTCACCTCTCTCCCTAGCAAAGGAAAAAATAATCGGTCTGGATGCTTCTGAGCTAAAACAAACAAAATATTTTTATTTACTGTTCATGGCTTTGTTCTTTCATATGCATAATGTGGAGATATATCTTCTCACGCCTATCTTCCAAGGGCAGGAAAAAGGAGAAGAAAGGTGGCTAACAAAGCAGCAGGAAAGTTCAAAGACTCTGAGGCATGGAGGGAAAAAGCCCTCTAAGTTTAGCATATTCCCCACAGACCTCCAGTGTTAAGGAGAAGCATGCATTATTTTATTTTTCTAAAATAACACAAGTAGGCTTTGAATGTGGTTAGAAGGCATCATAGCAGATAAAAAAAGAGGAAATTTATGTAAGAAGTTAATCCTTGCTGATGGATTTCAGTTGGAGTAGTGGCTAGTGCAGTAACTTGGTTCCTATTCAAAAGCTCTTTGCTATATAGCTCCCTCAGAAAGACGGGGAGCTTATACAGAGGGAGAGCAAACTCTGGAGCAAATTTCAAAACATCCAATAGCTTTGAAAGAGCTACTCAAAAGTCACCTATGACAGATAATGTACATTTCATATTGCGGCGATGCTGTGACAATTCAGCTCCATTGGTTCTCACACAGATGTGTAGTACTTTCCAAAAGAATACGAGAAGTTTGAGTGAAGCTGAAGAGAAGCTTAAAAAGTGGAGAAATATGGAAAGATAGAAGAACATAGAAGACTGCCAGAGGTAAGCCCCGGATTGAAGAAAAATGTTTAAAATGGAAGACAGCCCATCTAAATTATTGCTAGTTTAAACAGGATGTCAGCATCTGAGACTATACACAAAGAAACATCAGCAGTAGTTCAGAGCACTGCTGCAATCCAAGTGCAGAATTTTAGTCCAACAAAAGATATTACAAAGTCTATCTTGTTTATGTCTCATGCATGCATCTTAATCCCTTTCCCCATCATCCTGGAAGCAATATGTATACAATGCATTGCAGCAACATATCAAAGGGCCAGTGAATCTCTGACAACTGAAATTACCAGGTTTTGGTCTTCACAAATAAGCTCCCAAACTGGTAATCTACAAAGAGTAGACATTTGGTCTAGATGGGCAGGATAGAAACAAACAAACAAACAAACAAATAAATAAACAAACAAACAATTTTCCAGCCAATGAGATTCACCTGGCAACTGAATATTTTCTGTAGCTACTACTAAATAAGATCATCTATTACCTCAGTATTTTGTATACAACACAACCAATAGCTTATGCTGCAATGTCAAATGCAAGATTGAAGCAAGCTTTCATCTTAAATATGATGACTCTGATCCTGGAGTCATCATATTTCTTAAAATAGGTTCACTGTAGCCTCAGAGGAACTCTTACTTTGCTAACAAATGTCTGATCAATATTTGGCAACCGTTTCAATCATTCCCTGTACCAGTCACCTCCATCAGCCAATCTGGAGAACTTCTGTGGCAAATGCTTGGAATCAAGCTCTATGTTTCTGGTGTATTTCCCTTGAAGACATATTATCATTTAAAACACAAAGAGAGGAAGCTTTACAAAGACTTCATCCCTCCACATTTGTAGGATCACCCTCTAAAACATCACTTGTTGGTCAAAGAGATAACTGAATTCTAAAGCGGTAATCCTACATATCAATGCTTCCTTGGGAGCAAGCTGCATTGAGCTCAGTGAGGCTTACTTCTGAGCCAATATTGTATATAATTGTACATTAACACGGGATGGAAACCTGTAAGTGACTGAAAATTAAATTCTGAGTTAAATTCTAATACTCTTTGGTGAAGCCAAAGTTGGATGTCTTCTTCCTTCTGATAGTGTTTGAGCTCTGGTCAAATTGATACTAAAGGTTCTCCAACCTTCAGAATACTATAACCCAGTCATTCTCAACCTTTTTTTTAACCACAGCCATAAACACACTATGAAGGAAATATAGGCCATAGTTACATAACAAACCTTATAAGATGGGGTGTGAGGCAGTGTTTCCAGTCTTGGGCCACCTTCAAATGTTTCCCCCCCCCCCCCCGCCCGCCAGGACATATAGCCTCACTGAGAATGGCCAATACTGGATTTGTTATTCTGCTACTCTGAGAACGATGCAGGGAAGAAAACTGGTTGGAATGGGAAAGTTCAAATAAGTCACTTGCAGTACTCACACAACAGAGGAGTTATAAATTCAAAGTCCCCTGTCATCAGAATCAGGCATTTCCTTTTTGCCTACATGGACAAAGCTCCCCACACACATTAAGCCAACAGAATGACATGTTTTAGTCAGGAGAAGTCACAGTCAATGAAAGAGTATTGCTTCTTCCTGGCTCTTTTGTTTTTTACTGTTTATATTTTATTAGTGACAATTTCTTCTAACAATAAAAGGAGAAGTAAAGATTCGTGTATAAATTAACCCACCACAGGCATTCCTTGCCAAGTTCCCATCCCACTCCAAGCTTCAAAAAATGAAAGGAAGAAAGAAAAGTTGTGGGGAGCTATCAATCACATATTTCCAAAACAGGTCAGGAGGAAATCTGTATTTTTTTAAATGTAACTTTGTCCTTACAAGCCGAGTTAATATGCATAGTAGTTTACTTTCACTTTGACTTCTTTTTCCCAGTCACCTAATCGTAAATTAAACTTCCCAGGTCATCTTTCCAAATATATGTGTATATATACTGTATATACATATTTAAAATGGCATCACACAATGCTGACAACTATACTGATGCAGTGGGGTGGGATGGGCTGGATTGTTCTCAGCGACAATTATTGCTGTTTGAATGTAGAGAAAATATCACTTTCCTCTACAAGACTATCATGAGGAAAAATAGCTCCCATACAACTGAGAAGCTGTTGCACATATGCACCTCAGATTGCTTGGACAAGTTCTTAAATAATTTTATCAATAAAGTTCCTTGTATTGACATAATATTTAGCTACATTATTATATTTCCACTAATATGCTAAATGATTCCCTGTCCTTCCCACAGTGGCCCCTGAGTGGTATGTGGTAGATTTAATCCACTTTTCCCAGGCACAATCTTGAGGGGTCGGATAGGCTGAGACATGGTGATTGGCTCAAGGTCATCTAGTAATTTTCAAGAACAATTATGTTTCTGAACCTAAAACTTTATCTACACAACTGTGCAACAGAAATGTCTGTGAAAATTAGCAGACTAAATATGAATCTAAAGGGTTATGCTCATGTTTTAGATCTCTGTTAGTTCTCTAGGGGGGAAAGTTAGTAAAGCCAAAAGAGAAGCTCTTTAAGGCACTGGTCCAAGCTGTCTTGCTTCCTGAAATTCTAAAGCCAGCCTTGGAGAGTAAAACATTGGACATTGTGAGAGATTCCCTGGAAATCTTCCTTCCTCCTGGCAGGCAGAATAAATGAGTTAACATCTTCATGACCTTTCCACTCCTTGGCAGAAACTACCAGTAAAAGAACCAGGACTAGGAATTTGTTTATTCCCCTAGATACCAGCCTATGGAAAAACAGTACAGTGGTGCCTCGCATAGCGAGGTTAATCCGTTCCGGATTAACCTTCGCTATGCTGAAGCATTGCTGAACGGGGCAGGGATTTCCATTGGAACGCATTAAACATCGTTTAATGCGTTCCAAATGGGCCAAATCCTCACAGTTCAGCGATGCTTCAGGATGGCCGGCAGCCATTTTCGCGGCCTCGCCTCGCTTAACGAGGGCGCGAAAATGGCTGCCGGCCATCCTGAAGCATCGCTGAACTGTGAGTCTTTGGCCCATTTGGAACGCATTAAACATCGTTTAATGCGTTCCAATGGAAATCCCTGCCCCGTTCAGCAATGCTTCAGCATAGCGAAGGTTAATCCGGAACGGATTAACCTCGCTATGCGAGGCACCACTGTATCTAGTACCAATTTCAGATGCAGAATGTAATAATTAGTGGGAATCAGAGACAGGTTAATTAATATGATCAAGCAGGAGTTTCTGAAAATGAAAGGCATGCCTGAGACTGATTGCCATAATACCTTCTCTCAAGATCAGTGTGAACCCCCCACCCCACTGCCCAAAGTAATGGTAAAAATCCCTACGCTTTTTACTCACAATATATGTGCAGAGTGGATGGAAAGCATATGTGCCACAGGCATACAGGTGGGTTGCGTTTAGCCGCTGCAAAAGCTTGACATGGTTGTAACATTCTGTCTGCAAAAAGGAAAGGAGAATGTGGTTTCCACAAGCATCCTAACAATGCTGGACAAGCACAAATAGGTCAGCAGTACAAAATGCACCCATACCTTGTTGTTTTTGCCCTTCTTCAGGCACATTGCCTGCATCTCTGGGGAGACCTCCCACTCCACCTGTAGAAAGAAAACAAGACCAAAGAGAAGATCAATATTCCATGGGGCACCCAAACACTAGGAGCTGTGGCTGAGCATAACGTAAACGAGCAAACCTCATGAAGCTCACGGGAGCTCTTCAAAATTCATGTTTTGCTTTTCTTCAGACTAAATGGGTTTACTGAAGGGCAAAGCAGGATAGGAAGACTGAACAGTTTTGTAACCGAGTAATTCTTAAAAGCCCTCAACTATTATAAGAACCTTATAAGAGTCAACAGAGTGAAGATGAGGGATGTTTTGTTTTTGTTTTTTTTGCCAGCTCAAGAGCTCCTTCTTTAATTTTGCATGAGAACAGACCATAGGAAAGGTACCATAACTGGGCCTAAGGACACTAAATGGGAATAAACAGGTGCAGTACCTGTATTGGGAGCACTATAGACCTCCTGGCATTTCCAAGTAACTTTCTGTAGAATGGGGTTGGTCTCTCCCCTCAACATCAAGTGTAGAGAAATCAAGATGGGTCCTACACTCAAAATGAGATTTAGTGACAGTTTCACGCACAGATCCATTTTTTTCCCAAAGTGAACACTCTTAGAACTGTTCCTGTTGTTAACTCTATCCTTTAATGCAACCTTTTTCAGACCAGCGGTCTCCAGATATGCTGGTGTACAAGTCCCACAAGTCCCTCATGATACTGGGTCATGGTGGCAGTTGTATTCTGACACGTCTGGAGGGTGGCTGAGCTGGGGAAGCCTGCTCTGCTTTTACCAAGGCAATGCAAAGAAGTACGTACGTCACTTCAACAGCAACTGCAAATAGCATTAATAAGCCACCTTTCCACAAGGCAACCAAAGTGGATCAAAGAATATCAAATGAAAAGCAACAAATACAATTTTAAAAAACTGTAATAAAACCAACTACTACTAATAATAGCAAGACATCATCATCATATCAACCTTAACAACTTCATAAAAGCAATATTAAAAAATTGGCCTAATCCAACAGTTATGAATTCACTGTGAAATTATAATCAGTGTATATTTTTACCCATGTACAATTTTATTCAAAGTGTCAGGTGGCGAGAGTGTTCTCCTAGTTCAAAGCAGAAGGTGGATCTGCACAGCACCTGACTGGCCAGTCCTTGTAAACTGTGAAACCTTGACCACTTGCCTATCAGAGCAGGATTAACCAACCCTTAAAAAGGGAATTTAAAATATAAAGTTCTGAACCAATATTAGAGCAGACAAATGAGTTGGGCTCTTGAAAACACAATGAAGCAGACAGCCTACTGAGTGTGTGTGTTTGTAGCTCTATCCATCTGTCTCTCTTTCTCTCTCTCCCTCCACTTGCATTTGATATAGAGGTTGTACTGCGCTATTTGAAGAGTGGAATGCACTACAACTGGTAAGTTTCTCTTCATTGAAGGTAAACTCTAGCTATATCTGGAAACCCAATTTATACAGAGAACGGGGTCTGTGGGAATGCTGGTTAGAGAAAGTTGCACTTACGGTTCGATGGGAGCTATCAGCAATATTGCTGGAATTTAAGGAGAATATAGCCCCCCTGGCTCCTACATAAAGAATTCCTTTCTCATCTTCTAGCAGCAGGGTGGTGTAGTTCTGGGCATGACTGTTGAATCGTCTTGCAGATATCAAATCTGGAGAAAGAAACACAGGCATTTAAAAATCAAAAGCACAGTGAAATTTGAGGCCAGACCTTCTTGGTGCATCAGCAGTACCTTCTGTCCTTCCACATCTGAAGAATGGGAACTGTGAAATGCAATTGCAGTAGAACCCCTGTATCTGAGGTTTACCAAAGTCCTATATACAACATACAATAGGGCCCCCTTGTGACCTTTGTCCCACCACCTTTTATGTTACACATATAATAATTATGTTCCATCAAGTCAATTTTGATTTATGGTGACCCTCTTCAGGGCTTCCTAGCTAGAGAATATTCAGATGTGGTTTACCATTCCTTTCTTCTGGGGGCGCCCTGGGACTGCCCAGCTTGTTCAAGGCCACACAGATTAACTCAAACTCCCAATCTCTGGCTCTAAAGTCAGATTCCTAAACTACTGCACTATCCACCCAGCTAATGTAATAGAGACAGAGTTCATATATCTGTGGTTTCAGGTATCCACAACAGATTGTGGAACCAATCCCCTACAGATACAGGGTCCTACTGTACAAACCAAGATAGCATTCAGGAAAAAATGAACATGCCAGTTTGGTTTAAGCCTGCTCTCTAAGCATGTTTCAAGTATCATGCCAAATATATCGTAAATGTCAATAATTTTGTAATCGTTTTCACAAAGGTATCCACAACAGATTGTGGAACCAATCCACTACAGATATGGGGTCCTACTTTACAAACCAAGATAGTATTCAGGAAAAAATGAACATGTCAGTTTGGTTTAAGCTTTCTCTCTAAGTTCAAGTATCATGCAAAATATATAGTAAGTGTCAAATAATTTTGTAATAGTTTACACAATTCATCATTTAGTTTAGAATTTTAAGCAACACAAAGCTGGGTTCTCAAACAATTAAATAAGAATATTATCAACCATGTAATTTGACTTACCGTCTTATATTAATTTTTGCTCCAAAAAAACGCAATAGAGCTTATTTTCAGGGGATGTTTTATTTTTTTCAGGTGCAATAATCTACATTTATTCAAATGCAGTCATGTCATCTTCTTCTGGTTGCTGCACAATGGTGGAGGGTGGGGTTTCACTTAACTAGGGCTTATTTGGGGGGGTAGGGCTTATATTACAAGCATCCTGAAAAATCATACTAGGGCTTATTTTCAGGTTAGGTCTTATTTTCAGGAAAACAGGGTACTGTACTATTTTTCATTTATTTTTCTGTCCATTTATGTTCAAAATGGCTTGTAAGACCAAAACAATGGAACAGATCCTATGTTTACTTGAACATAAATCTCATACTCCAATGGGGTTTACTCTAGTCAGTATGTGTGGGACTGTAACCTTAGTCTCACTTCAAGAATTCAAAGAGTGATCAATCCATATGTTTCAGTTTAACATGAATTTCTATGGAATGACAGCCTTCTGCATTGGCTTAGAAAGGAATAGTTCTTGTCCATTTCCTAGGAAGCAATCCCTCTAGACTCGCAAATCTGAGACATAAGACATGCAAACCAATTCCTGCTATCTCCCAGTTGATGAACTGCAAAACAAGAGCAAGTTAATTTGACAAATGTGGATTGAGGCAATGCTCACATTTGAATAAGCAGTCTTTTCCTCTTCAGCATGCATTATTTCTAAAAGGTAGGGCATCCTAAAGGAGAAAAAAAATTTCCTCTAGGCAAGTGACAACACAGACTAGATAGGTGAATGAAAAGTGGATAAACAAAATTAGTTTCCACTTAACCTGAGTCTTCATTCCCTCTGAGAGCACTGGAAGAAGTTTAAAAAAGGTGACTGTATATAAATATATTAAGGCAAAACTAATATGATCAAAGGAACCTAACCCTGACCTAGTCTATCTTGCAGATTAAAACCAACTGCATTTCCTCCAATTAGAATGACATGACCACATTTTAAACAGAATCTTCTGCTTGGACAGTTCCCTATGCTTTTATTCTAAATTGTGAGTGAAGAATAGAGAAAATTACAGTATTAGCACAGCAAATGGTACATTATACATTTTGCCCTTTAAGCACATAAAAAAATGAGAGAGAGAAAGAGATTTGTTGTCACATCTTCTCCTCACCATCAATCTTAGCTGGTTCCTCTCAGAGAGGAAAGACCTGATTTCCAAAACCCTTGGTCCTTACAGAAAGGGAAAAATAATCAGCTTGACTAGGACACAAACGCCTCAAGCAGACAACTGTCCTGATAGCAAGCGCTATTTATATCTTCCACCTATTACTATGCAGGCTGAGTCACCACAAGGTCCATGGTTGGAAGGATGGGAGACAACTTGAGGTCTGGCAGTGACTAGTTCAAAGCCCTCAGGCTTTCCCTTCCTCTTCTCTCCTGTTCATCACTGAATGACTATGGCAGAAGAAGAAGGTAAAAGGCCTTTCCTTAGGGCCTTTGCCAATTTCTTAGTATTCCCTCTCTCCTGCATGACAATAGTTTGCTTACTTCCTGGTTACTAAACACTGAACTACAGTCTGTTCTAAAAAGAAGTTGTAAAAAGGAGCTACTGTCATGTGGGGTCAAAAGAGACCCTAACAAATAAGAACACCACTCAAGTTAACCCATTTGACAGAGCGCAGCTGAAAATGGAGTGCTGTTGAATTTATGTTGTTCATGAAGAATGTGTACAGATACAAGAGAGATCAAGAGAAGGTGTCAATGACAGCATCCCAATCTTGTTTGGAGAACTGAAAAACTGAAGAGATGAAATCCAGACAATAGCTATATTATTATGAGGCTGCCAGAAGCTAATAAAAAAAGGTTCACACATTAATATGTGCTATACAATTATTTTTCATCATTTGATAATTTGCAGGTCAAGCAATTCTACTGATCTGTTTCATGTCTAATGCTTAAGCAATTTCTGGTGTTTTTAAATCTGTGATAGTGCATTCACACATGCAAGTTGCAGGATCTATCAAGTGACAGGACCACACAAGTAAACTGGCTCACCACACAAACTTTAACTGGCAATAGCTCATTTGATCTGATCCCTAACAGGGAGGATGAGTGAAAGAGAGGAGCTTAGACTCTCTTAAAATGCTAGAATTCACCTGTGCAAGGTAGGATAGAAAGGAATCAAACACATTTTAAGGAATCCTACATCTCTTGAGATATCTCAAAATGACTATCACCATCACTTTTAAACTATTCATATACAGTTCTACGGTCATTACTCCACTCAATCCTCCAGCACTTCAGAAGAATACAATGGAAACAAGCCTGTTTTATTAATTTCTATAACACCCTGATATCCACCAAGTTGAAAGTCTGATGCAAAACATGGGCTTTTCAGCCCTGCTTCTTGGCAAAATTATTCTGTTTGTCAACTGAGTAACAAATGCAAATATACATTCCCATTCCTTTGGAGGAATGCGTTCAGCACTGCATGAGAATTCCTACATCTTATATTCAAAATAAAAGCAACAAGGATTTCCTATGAGCAGAAGCTAGTGAACCGGGATAGAACCAATGCTCTTTGAAATTTAAGTAAGAATTGATTATATTCCAGTCTGGCCTTCCCCATCCTCATGCTCTTCAGATATGCTGGGCCACATTTCTCATCATGCCCAGCCAACATGCCACTATGTCGACAACACATGGATGGAAGTCCCCTCCCCAATTGTGAACTATGGGGGGCTAGAATCACTCAGAAATGGTGTAACTGATTTATAAAAACAGAACACTCTATATCAGCCTCCCCCCTTCATTTTTTCACATGTTTTGGAGTTCCAGTTATCCTTCCTTATTGGCTATGTCAGCCATATCTGACAAGAACTGCAGCCCAAAATATTTGGGAGGTACTAGGTTGGAGACGGTGAACCCTTAGTGCAACAACACTATGTTCTATTTATGCTGAGAGCAATTTGGGGAAGGCCAGGCATGGCCTTAGTGCAACATCACTTGTGTCCTACAGTACTTACATCAACAATAATCTTCCCCTTACATGTGGAACTTGTTTTTTGCAGGCATGTCACACTGTTGCCTCATATTCAACTGTAGTCTACAGTTCCAAGATCCTTCTTGCATACAGTATTGCTGAACCTAATATCCCCCATCTTGTAATTGTGCATTTGGTTTATCTTTCTTTGGTGTAGAACTTTGTACATATCCCTATGAAATTTTATTATGTTGTTTTCAGCCCAGTGCTTGAGCCTATCAAGATCTTTGTGATTTCTGCTTCTCTTTTCCAGGGCAATAGCTATTCTACTCAATTTTGCTCATACCCAAACTTGTTGCTTCCTCCCAGGTTGAGAAGGATGCAGTGCTTATCAAACTAGGAGCCTTGGATACTCCAAGTCTCAATCCTGGCCCCGATGCACAATACTTTTACTAATGGCTTGGATCAGGGAATGCTTATTAAATTTGTACATAACACAAAATTGGGTGAAATGGCAAATGACCTGGAAAACAGAAATGGTTCCCTTTTAGAGAAAGAAATACCAAGGACAAGAAACAGTGCTTTGTTTCTCCCTCACTGTGACAAACAAAAACAAATAAATCAGATTTGGATTAGCCATCTGTAAATTCAACAATCTGTACAATGTAGCTCATCCTGGAGCTTTATACCAACAATTGTTTTAGCTGAATAGCATATACTGTATGAGGACATCAGCCCTGCTTATTTGCGTGTACGATGGCAATGATGAAAGTACATCAATGAGGCACAGATAGGAAAAGCAGTCCAATTACACCAAATTCATGAAAGTACATCAATGAGGCACAGATAGGAAAAGCAAGCAGTCCAATTACACCAAATTGTTATACGGAAGGTGTTTGTGCAGTTATAACCCTTAATGACTAAACCTGCCTATGCGGAACAAATAAATTCCCGGAACAAAAATTAAGTATTCACCTTCCTGATGCTGCAGAGTTACCTGAGAGGGCTTGACTAAGTGATAGATGGCAGGTGCCTGCCTTTGAGCTGTCATTGCTGTTCAACAATGCAGAACTGCAGGGTAAGGATGAGGGGAAAGCACAACACTAGCCAT